TAAACCACATAGTTTCGTATTGCCTTTTCGTCATGTTAATACTCAAAGAAAGATCATTAGGAACATTAACATTTTTTGTATATATGTCGTGGGAAATATGTAACATCGTTGGCAATAAGAACAAGACAACAGCAAACATTTCCTGAATATGGTACTTGACCTTAGATTTCTGAATAATCATCTTTTGCATCACCGTATTTATTATAACTAATTTAAGGGTCAGATATATTGAAAATATTTTAATCTGTAATTCGTCTGTCTCTCTTTCTTCGCACCATATTTCTCTGTCAACCAAACCTACGACGTGAAAATAGATTGAATTTGATAATACGCTGCCCATTCGGTAGCCATTAGTTAGAATTGTGTAATGTTTTTATGGTTCTTTCTGTAGTATGAGTTGGTGGTGGTTGAGGGTCAAAGGATAAATACATACCAACTGAATTACAAATGTCGTTTTAAAAACAGTTTTAACCAATCTTTACGTCTGCAGTCAAATCAGAAAGATAGATAATATTTGTAACGTATTTGTGGTTTTCTGAAACATTGGTTATGGTTTGCCTGAAAAAGTATGTGATTAAAAGCCAATTAAATTGACTCTAGCTGATATTGTTTTCGTTAAATAGAAACGCATCTCTCTGAGTCACTTAGGGCTGTGTGAACGATTGGTCATAAGGCACACCGTGACCGTATCCCATACGATGTGAAAAGTATATGTTTGTGGTAATTTGAATTAGTGTTACATATCTCAGGTGTAAGTAAAATGGATCTACATCAAGAAGTGTGTTTTTGGTATTTGATTCACGGGACGCAAAATATATACTTAAGTTTAAGAAATTTATAGAGGCGAACTACACATTCCTGAATTTTGAAGACGGTTATTACAATGAACTGAATGTGACATAACACCGAAATCGAGTTTAACCGTATCTCTTATAGGGCATGATTGGAGCTCATGGGGACATTGGTCAAGCTGTTCTTCTACATGTGACACTGCATATAGTTCCAGAACTCGAACATGTCTGGGAAAGCCTTGTCAGGGTGATGCTGTTCAAACAAAGCGATGTGGAACTAGCAAATGTTATGGAGGTGAAGCGTATAACACTACGTTTTTCATGAATAAACATCCTTCATTTATTATGTACATGTGTTAGAAATAGATGAATACCGCGAATTGATATTGTTTTGAGTTAATTTGCTCCATTAAGCTTACTAAATGGAAACAACTTACATATAAACAGTAGACAAATAAGACATCAATTTTTTTTTTGCCCCACATTATTATTCCGATTATCTAGTACAAGGAACATTAGTCATATTAATATTCCTGGTCATTTTACGTATCGTGGAGAGACAAAACACAAGGCAGTTTATTCATGATATTGTATTTACATAACGATGTGTACACCTCTCTCTCTCTCTCTCTCTCTCTCTCTCTCTCTCTCTCTCTCTCTCTCTCTCTCTCTCTCTCTCTCTCTCTCTCTCCCTCTCTCTCTCTCTCCAACGACAAGATAAGATCACAACGGAAGCAACTTAAGTGATATGTGATAAGATCGTTATTATTTACATAGGAATGTTTTTCAAGGTTTGACATTCCGAAGTTTGACGTTTTAAAATCTATGTACGTCATTAGCAATTCCAAATGTGCATAGGATGTCTGATTAACACTAACAATAATTCGGAAAGAAGTCATAAGTGTGAGTGGTATCATCCAAGCGTGTATGTGTGTGACTTTTTAATGTCTGCTTTCCTGCTTTCGTCATATTGTACAACTACCAACAGTGATGTGGTCTGACTGGAAATGATATGTAGAGGTGAACGATAGTCCAGAAAATTTAGCCCAAAAGTGAAGATGAATCTGAGAATGTTTTGTAATGTGGAATAACATTGGAGGAGCCAGCTATAAAACATTCATTTCTCAATACCATTTTATTTACTCTCTTTTATTTGTCAGATGTGTTGAATTTAGAAATATGTTTTCATCTTCTCTTTAATGAGCAATAAATGCTTTTTTAGATGGAGGTTGGTCTCTTTGGACACCATTTTCAAGCTGTATCGTTTCCTGTGGGACTGGAATAAGGTTGATGCAACGATTTTGTAACAATCCGGCTCCTGCACCAGGGGGGAAGTTTTGTGAAGGGACTTCGATTCGGTATGAGTCTTGCTATGGTCCCTCTTGCTCCATGGTTCTAGTAATAGGTAAATCTAATTTATTCTAGACGAGCACTTTTAACATTTTCTTATGCGGTTATGTTTTGTTCGTACTCTTGCGGCTGTTATCGACAGGAATAGCTTCATAGAAAGCAAAACAATGTTGGTGAACATATACAATGGAAATGTTGCATGAAAAATGAACAGGCTTATAGCATTATACAAACACAGAGATAGGAAGGAACGGATACAGCCGTTGGTAGGAATAATAAATAACATTTAAACAGTAAATAATAATGTCATAGTTCAGTATATCGTACACAAAAATGAGCATCATAAGAAACACAGACATTGAATAAAATGTTCAACGTGTCTATTTTGTTTTAACTGGTGGTCATCTTAGAGCATATGACGTTAATAAGAAGTCCATTTTTAATATTGCCAAAATTTGAAATATTTTGTATATTTAGGGGTTAAATTAAAATACATGTATAGATGTCATATAATTAGTTCGAAAACGGTTCGGTTTCTTAGTTTTCGCAAACTTTGTATAAATACAAATTATTAAATTACACTAACTGCTTATCAACCTGATATGAGACTGATCTCAAGTATTATATTATTTTTCACCAAAAACGTATACCAATTCTATAATTTCGGCTGACCTAAATGAAAACACATTCTCATTGATGGGGTTTGCTTCGAGTAATCAACTTGTAGGTTTGAATAGTATCAACAGTCGATCTCTAAACATTACCCATTTCAAAAAGCTAGATTCAAGATTAAACACATTTTTTTAGTCTGAGTAATTGGTGAATAATACTATACACATTGTGTATATGTAGCTATTGACATGTAAGAGCTATACAAAATATAACAGGTAGCATATATTAAGTTATATGGGGCACATGTAAACACTGGACAATATATTATACTCTAAGGTAAAGAAAATAAAACTGCATTTTTGAAAACATAGTCATGCACAGCACAATATTCAACACTCTCATCACACCCATATAATAAAGACATCAGTTATGCATAATTTATATGCTGTAAAATATTAAGAAATTTGATCTACACATATTATCAAAAGATGCAAAATAAGCTGAAATCAAACTCTCTTTGGTCCACAAGAAGACTTTCCTAACAACGACAAAAAGCGAAGTGATACTTTCCAAGCAAAGAAATCATAAGGAACTTAATACAAGTATTTTACGGAAGCGTACGTTAAGTTATAATCGCTTAAGAAACATACCAATACTCGTCCAGTTATCCATTATATTTGTCATTTGTACTTGCTAACTCTTGACTGAACGTAGAAACCATATTTCACTACGCAATCTGTGTAACTTGATCAGGTGATGACTATGTAATAAAACTGAAACAAAACAAGGACGATGGCATACAAATGCATGTTTTGTTTACACAATATGCTACAGTCTGTTTGAGAGTATGTTTAAATATACCAGTGGTTGTCATTAATGTTCTCAGTTATCGATTTAAAATTAAATTCCCATCAAATCCTTCATTTAAAAAACCCAAAAGAAAACGTTGAGGATGGCTGAGAAACCATCTGTATTTAAACTATATGGTTTTAAACAGACCGACAGGTCATACTTTACCTCTGAGGTCCCACTTTCGTTTTACATTACAACTTGTTTAGAGATTATTATTATTATTATTATTATTATTATTATTATTATTATTATTATTATTATTATTATTATTATTATTATAGAATGAATGGTAAAATTGATACATGTTGGTTCTACAGAAAGTGCATGCTAAGATGTGTAAAAGAAAATATTTGATTTCAATGCAACTCAATTGCTGCAGTGTTGCATCAGTCGGAATTTAAGATGTATGAATATTGAGAAATACATAGAAAAGCCAATATTTAAAGTACAGTACTTCAATAAGAATTCAATGAATGTCTCCATTGTTGCAGATGGTAAATGGGGCTCCTGGTCGACTTGGTCTGCTTGTACAGTTACAAATACGTACAAATATAGACACCGAATCTGTAATAACCCACCAATAATCTACAGAAAGTGCATGCTAAGATGTGTAAAAGAAAATATTTGATTTCAATGCAACTCAATTGCTGCAGTGTTGCATCAGTCGGAATTTAAGATGTATGAATATTGAGAAATACATAGAAAAGCCAATATTTAAAGTACAGTACTTCAATTCAATGAATGTCTCCATTGTTGCAGATGGTAAATGGGGCTCCTGGTCGACTTGGTCTGCTTGTACAGTTACAAATACGTACAAATATAGACACCGAATATGTAATAACCCACCACCTAATCATGGTGGAAAATTTTGCCAGGGTCAGAATGTCGAATCACACACTTGTTCCTTGGCTACAAGCACTGTCGGTGAGTGAAAATATGTTTTTCATTTTGAATAGTTACAATGCTAGGAATGACCTTTATCAATCAATGCTCAGACAGACACATTCAAAAATAATAATTAAAATCCAATGAAATGTTATCCCGTGTTTATTTTCGATTGTATTGTTTGCAGATAAGAATACTTCGATAATGCAATATATTACCACTGAGTAGGTTATTTAAGCAATAATGGGATTGGTTTTGAATGTAAATATTTCATTACCGAACTCGTCAAATAAATGTTTTTCCATACCTGATGTAATGTGATTATGATTTTAACGTTGCTTTAACAATTTTTCAGTCATATCGCTATGATGTCTGCAGAGTGGAAGTTTATAGTGATGTCTAGCACTGGGGCATCATGCCGCAGACATGTAGCATGATGTCCCACCCAATCACATTATTCTGACACCAGACCGACTAACACTAATCTCATAATGCTGTAAGTCTTTGGTATGACTCGACCGGGGATCTAACCCACGATCTTCCACATCCAAGGCGGACGCTCTAACGACTAGGCCATATCTGAAAGATCTTTTCGGTTATAAGCAGATATTTTATCGTGTCCACTATCTCGCATAAAATATAATATGAATTTTCTTTGTGTTCGTAAATGCGCAGTTTGATAAATAAGAATAATGACAATGACTGCTTTGTAAATTGGTGACATGAACGGCGTCCTAATTTATATTTTATTTTCTGTTTTTCATTTTATTAATCAGCTAAATTAATTTTCATTGCAATAAGTGATGGGATCTTAATATATATATATATATATATATATATATATATATATATATATATATATATATATATATATATATATATATATATATATATATATATATATACAGAACGTTAAATTCAATGATTTTATGAGATGCCAAAAGCTACTTGTTATCAACGGTATAAATATGAATCAGTTTGGACCCTTTTCACGGAAATATTTTGGCAATGTCAGTTTTTCGTTCACGCACTATATCTCAAAATTGCACGCACTGTATCTCAGAATTGCACGCACTGTATCTTAAAATTGCACGAAATGTCAAAACAAGGATTGTCATAGAATTATATCACAAAACAAATATGTCATTGTACATAATTGCTGACCTGAATAGAAATTACCTCGAATTATAGCAACGAAATAAGAGTCATATTTTTTTAAAAACTTTATATCAGTGTAGAATTCTATCATTGGTGTATCATTATGAGATCAACGATAGAAAGACCTACAAAATGGTATTATGTATGACTAATAATTATTTTTTCCTGTCCGATGAGGACAACATGTTTGGTGTGCATTTCATTTCGGTAGTATAGCTTATGCATAAATGTGAGAATAAGATAATTCTCACCACAGTCCAGATATTTTAATATACCAAATGAGCCTTTCTATTTATCTATTTGTCTAAGCAAAGAAATCATCAACAAGAATTAAATTATAGCATGTTTTGCTTACGATCCATAACCTTGATTTCTTGTTTCTTTCACTTTCTCATACATTTTTTTTCATCGAATACCTGCCACCTCGAGGTGAAATCTGTTAAATGCATTAAGTTTATAAGATTAGGAGTCTTCGTAGCTTGTACACTGAACCGATATGAAATACATTATGAGCCGACAGCTGTGCTAGAACAATTTGGTCGCGTTTCTGTCTGAGTTTTACTAAAGACGTAGATCGCGAAATGCTTGAAGACTGTATAGTACTTCGTAAAAATACCATGCAAAGAGAAGCTGATCATTGACTTGTTAGAGCGTTTGATATCTTACGTAATTTGTGTCTATTTCAATACTCATAAGATAAAATGTAACAGCGCCATGACAGAAATCGAAATTATTTTAATTTAAAATAGAAAACCATTTCCGAGATTCAGATGATATATTTTATGACTTGTTATTGATTTTGACATTGGTGATTGAGGGCTTGATTGATGCAGTTGTTTGTGTTGCCGATAATATTTCTTACAGCAGCGTTATTATTATATTTCTCAAGTAAATAGTTGCTTTTTTGTCAACAGGAACGTCGTCACCTGTACAATGTATTTGATTCATCGCATTCATAAGAACTGTTACACAATACGATTTTATCAACAATTGTATAATGATACAAATGCATGAATGCAATTATTCACTAAAAGACGAACATAAGATGAAATTAAAATTTAGTCTTATTAGTCTATTTGTAAGCGCAGAAAATTGCGACTTTGATGATGTGAAGCATTAAAAAGATTAAAATGTTTTCTATACTTCCACTGACGAATAGTTTCAATTTAGTTATGAAATGTTTCACCAATCGAACTGTGGACACTATCTATTGTAATCAATGTTCGAAGAAATTAGTTATGTTGTAAGAAAATTGTCTGGGTTAGTGGAATGAAACATATACAGTAGTGGGCATTTTAATGTTGCCGTGACTGCGAAAATAAATAGTAGCAGCTTATATTTTATATAGCAATTAATGATTTTTTGAAAGAAAAAAAACAAACATTCATTTAGATAACAGCCGGCAGTAGCGTAAGATTTATCGTTTTCAGAATGTGATATGTTTAACTTAAAGGCCATTTCATTTTTGTTCTGTTACCAAACCTTTCACCATAACATTTACTACAAATGCGGTTACTCCAAGTCCTCCTCCAAGACAGGGTAAAGTCATCTACTCTTACCTATATAAGTTTAAATTACCATGAAAATACTATCAGTTCTACCCCATTCCTCAAACCAATTGACCAGATGTACCACACAAGCTTGGAATTGCTCCATGAGTTAAGGCCAAAGCTGTTCATTGCAACTGGTGATAAATGATCTCTCGACAGAAATGATGTCAAAGAAAAATGTAACAATCACAATCGATTACCTGCGCAAGGCATTACAGAAATTTCACAAGTAAAAACTGACCTGTATTATGGCGCGAATCCTTTCTTGACATAGTAATCCCACTGAATGGAGTTTACAAGATTATGATGTATTTAATTAATATGACATTTCGCTATTAATATAGTATGTCTCAATTTATTCCCCAAAGAAAAACGCATTCCCAGCGTTGACTTTGTGTACTTTATATTAAACAATTTAAAACATAATTATACATACGTCCCATTTTATAAACAAATCAATATCTATTTCTGCATTTATGTAATAAGATATTGGTTTTGTCAAATCTTGATTCTTTAGGAAGAGACACCAATGTGAATATTAGTAGCTAAAGATTCAAATAAAAAAATATCAATAATTTAAACTTATATTGAAGGTACTGTTGAACAATGCAGGTGAAGCTCAATATACTTCAAGCAGACAACAATTGTTCAATAGTAATACATCAATATATTTATGATATATACCTAGCATTTAAATTATAAATTGATATACAAAATTAAAAGTATATTATTGAAAATTATAGTACTTATTGAAAGTATTTGTATCACTGTATTTATCACAAAACTAATATATGACTTTACCTGCGTTCATATAAACTGTGTCATGACAGATCTGTTCTGATGTAATATTTCGCACAACAATAAATAGTATGAGTTTAACAGTACCCTTCATGCCTTTGCACAAGAAGTATACTATAAGCTGCGAATTCCCGAAACGGTCCTTTTCATTCACTATAATCTAATGCTAAATCGTTTCCTTGCGTCTGGTAGTTTAAAATGGTCTGTCAACGGCATTAATTTGTAAACACTATATAATCGTCATTACCCATACATATAAATTTGTCGTGGTAGACGTCAGTGGATGTCATGTTTCGTAGCAACGTGTTTATTTGACGTTTCGTGCAATTAATATCATCGCACAAGAGCTTAGCAATCACAAACAAGTCTAAAAGTCTTGAATCACCCCAATCAATGGGCCTACCTATAAGGACATATAATAATATTATGCACACATTGTTCAAAATTGTTTTTACAGGTCATCAAGCAAAGCAACGGCCCCATCCGTGTCAGGATAAGATAATGCTTACACTTTCCTCGACTTTTCTAGATTGACATAATTATACTAATCTACGAAGAGGGAGGAAAGTCTCAAAATGACCCTGACAGCTACAGAGTATTATCTTTACTATCTGATTTGTAAACATTCTTTGAAAAATGTGTATAATAGATTTAGAAAAGGAAAATGTTAAATTTTCAACATGCTCAGAATCAATTCTTCCAAAAGTGATCGAGGTGCATAAATGCAACTTTTAACTTGAATGAATATATCTTTGCTAAACTTGTATTAGAAGCAAAAGTCTATGCCGCAGTTTTGGTCATCAGGAAAACGACTGATACCGTATGACAGAAGGGACTTTTCATAAGCTTATCTTATTGGAAATTGCTGGTAAAATATTTATTAAGGAATCATGCTATAATATCAAAGGCATATTAACTATAAATGACACTAAATCTGAACTTATACCAATTAGACTCTGTGTTTGACAAGGTGATGTGCTTTTCACTCTTCTTTACCTTGTATATGTCGATGATATGTTAAATTTGTTAGAAGATTCGAATTTATTAATAATCATAGGATTAATTCCTTTTGAAAATTATGATTTAATTGATAATATCATTCTATTAGTTACAAACGTTTCTTAATATGAAGAAATGAATAATGTCGCTCACTTGTAATCGGCAACGTGAAATTTTAAAATCAACGTAACAAAGAGCAGCATTATATATTATTACTGAACGTGCAGCAGGGAGACTGCATTTCAAGTGGAAAATCGGTACAAACATTGCTCCGATTTTGCTAACTACTAAGCAAGTAGATATCACTATAAACTCTGGCACCAGCTACGTAAAGGCATGTTCAAGGAAGAAAATCAGTATAGTCCTTTTGTAATTGAAGAAAAACTCCTTAACCATTGTGGCTCTTTATAAAATTGTTATATGGATGCACATTATTTTATATGCCTTAAAAAGGTCTAAACGAATCTCTTTAATGAGATCATATACATTTTGTGCAGGAATAACAATACGAAAGAAAAATGATTTATTCACAAAATTAAACATTCTGTACCAATATGACTTGAAAACTTTAATTATACATTTATGAAAGATATTACCTTTCTAGCTAAGAAGGAATGGAAGCACATTGTATGGAACACCATAAATGAATATACGAAATTAACACTTCTACTACAACTGATGTTTTAAATTAACATATACATCATTGTATTAGTTGCAAACATCAAGGTCAAACTGAAAATGTTAAACTGATATAGATTTGAGCCTGGTTTATCGTCACTGCATACAGTATGATAGTATATAATTTTGAACATTACACTGTACGCAGATGTTATTGCTCATATGCTGGTCTCGTGTTCGAAAACAAAGATTGATGTATCTAATTTAGTGGCATATTATCAATTATTTTGATATTCAACTTAGTAAATATCTTCATACTATATCTGACGAAGAATTTACCCAGAACTAAATATATAGGGAAATCCTGAACGGCCTCAATGTTTACATATATTTTGTCAGTTGCAATATGTTCTGCTGGAATTGTGAAAAGGTAAGCTGGCAACAATATAAGAAACTA